CTAAGAAAGGTGATTAGAAAGGTCTGCTACTTTTAGGGAATCCTCATTCAAATTTTCCATTCCTATAAGGGCATTAAAGTCAAGTGAGATAAAAGAAATGAATGGCACAGAAATTCGATAGTTCTTACACATATACTAGAAAGGCTGTTTTCGTAATTTCTTACGTACAATGAGCAATGCAGCCGCATGAACTGCGCGTATGGTTATCTTCCATATGAACATAACTGCTGCCGGTCCTTCTTTTATCCGCGGATTACTTCTAGCCCTTTGATCACTTACTCTGCTACTGACTTCTAATCGGAGACAGGAAAACATTGTAACATTGATCACAAGGATGATGTGGAGAAAACTGGTCACCCACTTACGAAGGATCGAACCTGAAGTACGAACGCATGTGATCTTGAAATGAACAAAGAACTCCGGATATCCATCACCGCTCGCATAGCTTAAGCGCAGCATCGGCGAACCAATACCTCTCACCGCTCAATGCGCAGTGTGGACTGTGAAAGCAGTAGAATGCATGTGAGTGCCTATATGATTGTTTACAGAAGTTCGTTGCATGGCGCACTCCGTGGGGTTTCTCGCTGCTGCATAACAGACTTCTGAGATCCATAGGACTTTTTGGAAGGTTTTGCTATTGGAAGTGTTTTGGAAGCAATAGAACAGATTCACCGCTTCGTTAACGTCACTATTTTTTATCGGTTACTCTCAAAAGATTTTTTTTATCTGGTTCCCCTAACGAACCAGATACTGTACTGTTCATTGTTTACAAGCGAACTAGAGCTACTGAACCGGACAGAGAGATGATTGGATTATGCGATGGTGCCTCATATGGCTAGTTATGATATCCAGCTTTAGGTGGACAACTGGGTTCTGGATGAGCGCATGAAGAGGATGATCATGGACCTTCAAAGACACTGGTTAACAGATTATCAGCAGTCACGTGAGAAGTTATTGGTCGAAATGACCGAAAAGGTTCTCTCAAAATACCATTTTAAACTCTGAACATTTCTTCATGCTGCTCAAACTCAGTCGCAATGTTTTGGTTTCAGCTTCATCAGGAGTTTCTTTCTGATCAGCAGAAGATCCGCACCGAATTACTGACTCAGTTTAAAGACGAATTGGATACCACGAGGTGTGTATGCCATTACTAAAAATGTCCTTTGAATTGGGTTCATTATTAGAATACTATGGATATAGTTGCATCTATTATAGAGCAGAACTCGAAGACAAGTACAGAGAGTCACTGAAGCTTGAAATTGCGAAATTGGTCGAAAAACACAAGCGGGAGTTGACAGCAGCAAAGAAGAAACAGTGGTGCTGGCAGTGCGAAAGCGAGGTAATTCAAACCTCGAGTTTTTCGAGCAGCACCAGCAGAACCTTGATGATTTTTCAAATTTCAGGCTATTTATCATTGTTGCTGGAATACAGCATACTGCAGCGTCGAGTGCCAACAAGGTCATTGGGCCACTCACAAGAAATTCTGCCGACGTAAGAAGGGACAACAACAAGGACAGGGAACTACTAATTCTGGGCAAGGAGGACAACAATAAAACGAACTTAAGAAGGTGCGCATATTAGCGAAGCCTGACTTGTTTTGCATCCAATTTTTTGTTGGCGCTGGCTATACAAGTGGTCGCGTTATTTGCACGTCGGGTTTGAGCGATGCTTTTGGGTGAAGTTTGGAGTTTTTCAGTCACGCTAAACAGCAGTAACTGTGCTTGTTGTTGTTACCGCGCTTTCGTTCGTTTCAAGTGAGCAAATTGCAGTCGTTGAAATGATTTTGTTGGAGCCATTGCAATGAGCTTATTGGTCAGCAAGTATTCACACGGATAAGTTCTATTCTTAAAACGATAAGGAAAAAGGGTAATTGTAGTGACTCAACGTAGCCCAGTCGAAACTTTAGTAATTGAGAGCAAACGTGGCCAACGCGTTTGACTCGTTTCTTCGTGATTAAGGAGTAAAGTAGGCCGCAGGTGTCAGCAACATTCTTCTGAATTGGACTAGTGCTGGGCCAAAAAACATGTACGAATTGGATTTTCTTTTGTACCACTATTTGTTTTCATTATGTTTTAGGTTCGAGCAAGAAAAAGACAGTTTTTAGGTATGTGGTCTTTTCCGTGAACAAGTACCATTCTGCAAATCACTTTTAATGTAGCCTGAGTTGAATTCTGTGTCTTCAGTCTCGGTGCTGTATTATCCTTTATGTGAAGGCTATTTATATTTGTGTTATTTCTCGTTTATTTAGATCGGCGAATGAGTGAGGTTATGTTTAATCTTTTGTTTCTCTGAAGTATTAGCTTGGGAAGTTGCAAAATAGTCTTTACATCATGGATAAGCTGAGAATGAAGGAATTCTCCCC